ATCACAAAGTACAAGTGAAGTGCGTGCGATTTTGCACATCTCGTTGACTGTTAGAATTATGAACGTTGGATAAAGATGGACCACAGCATCATATCACTGACATTCGCGGGTGAACCAATCCCAATCCTCGCAACCCTGGTGCCCCAATCCAATGTTCTGTATGGTCATTGATAGTGGAGCATAAGCAACATTTACAGAACCAGAAGGACACCCCCTAAGGGGCATTCATGTTTTGCATTACGCTCGTGTGTGCATGCGTGCATGCGTGCGTGCGTGCGTGCGTGCGTACGTGTGTGCGTGTGTGCGTGTGTGTGTATGTGCGTGTGTGCGTGTCATTGGGGCTTTGAGACGTGGTGTTGAGGCTATATGACGTTACCTGCTCATCAGCTTCGCGGAAAGAGCGGACATTGGGCGATGCCTGCGGAGGAATTTGGTGCAACGTATGGTTACGCTCAGATGCGATTTTAAATCATGTTGAAGTATTTCTAAAACGTGTTTGAAGCGTTACCAGGGGAGAAGGATTCTCGGCCATCGCAACCGGTGTGTTACCGGTGGGGGGGCGTTGAAAATGGTCAACAATGCGTAACATCATTTATGGACGATATGCCCCAGCAGGAAAGTCTGGTAATGTGGTTTGTCATAGCAGTACAACACCCTGAAGTGAAGGAACCGTCCACCGCCCGTTCCAAAACCCGGGCGTCCGGTGGTGCGTTCGGTAGGAGATGATGCGGCTCCTGAACAGGGACTGGATTGAGCACGGCCTCCCCATGCTGCCCATACACTCCAAATCAACACCCGGTGATCAAGACCCTCGCAGGAAATGATATAAATAAAAGTTGAGATAGGCCTCCTATGTACTGAAAAGAAATGGCCTGTTATGGGGCGTGGCGACCGTGTATACGTGGATGAAGCCGCCCCGGGTGATGGGGTTTGAGCTGTCGGAGAGCGCAGCCTGTGGGCGCCTGCGAGAGGAACCAGACTGCTCGGCGGCCGATTTTCATCTGTTGCGGAGTGGATGGCGGCCATTTTAGTTTCATTGTCGACTCGGCCTAGTGTAAATTTACGAGGCTAGGTGTGCGGCGGACGTCTTCGGCAGCAATAGATCACTAGGATCAGGCTACGCGCAGTTTTAAAAATAGTAAGTACGCGTTGTCAGTTTACGTCAAAATAGGAAAAAACTTCATTCACGCGCAGCATTTTACGTACAGTACTAGCTTCCAGGGCGTAAGTTGCTATTGTGATCGTGAAAAGATTTGTGGTCTCCCGACACTTTCGTCTACTTCAGACCTGGTGGTTGAAAACAGCGCACCACTTGTCACCGCCTTCGCACATAACAGTAGACCTGTGGGCGGATAGATTGCACATACGGTTCAGAGTCACCCGAAAACATCGGACACACGGTGTGACATCGCTCAAGCTTACCATGCGTGCAAACCTGTGTTATGTCCACTCTAGGACGACGGCTGGCACGACTTCACACCAGGAGCTAGTCTGCTCTTGCTGCTGCCCGAAAGTAAGTTATGAGATTATGTCAAAAGTTATGTCAAAGCATTTGCCCGATTCCCAAAACGCATTGCCGGGTAAAATGTATATCCGGGACGGGGAAGAGCCAAGGAACCAATCCGGAATCAGGCCAAGGGATTTAGCAAGAATCAGGATCCAGTCTCATATTAAGTCGAAAGATCCAGTAAGGGCCAAGATCCAGCCTAGCATGGTGTCGAAAGATCCAGCAAGAACTAAGATCCAGCCTAAAGCATGTGGAGATCCAGCAAGAACTAAGACACAGCTCAGAATTAAGCTGAGATCCAGCAAAAACTAATATCTTGGAGCATCTTATCGAAGACCCCTGTCAGCCTTGATTTTCAAGGTTCAAGGCGCAACTCAGGGGCTTAATCTTTCAAAAGAGTTTGAAAGGTTGAACAAGGAAAATGGCGAAACCTATCCCCAATTTTTGGTCTCAGAGTTTGGAGGGCTGAGGTGACTTAACAATATGAAACTGCATCCCTGATGTTCCTAAAGTTGATAAACAAAGACAAACTTTTGCAACTCCGGCAGCTGCATCTCTGGCAGCCTTTTAGGGAGACCCTGATGGTTGGATAGCTGGAATTCTAACAATGTTTCTAGTACCTTGAAATCTAGTGGGATATTGCAAGACGCTAAGGTGGTTGCTTAGTGCACCATTCATATTAGGCCCCCGTACCATTCTGTTATGATGAGCACATGCTTTCAGGTGTCAGGGACCCATTTATAAATGTAAGGCGATCATCTTCAGCTAACAGGAAAGTTTTATTAGTTTTAATGGTGGTATCAGAACATGCTGACCGTTTGCCATGACTGTGGTGTGTGACATTAATTGATGTAAACGCCAACATATGTGGGTCGTCCCGCGCAAATCGCGTAACTTGCCAACAGCACCAGCGAAACCAGGATCCAGGGATTGGTTTTGATAAAGAAACCTGTGGGAACCAGACACATGTCGCTCTCGGCACAATTGAATAAGGACATAAATAATTGCGCTAAGGATGTCAGCTGCATATTCGACATCGGGCACGTTGTATCTGTCGAATAGCTAAACAGCAAGCATACGTCTCGTAAGGTGATTGTTGCCTCGACAAGCAAGGGGTTTTCCGTGAGAAGTGGCGTTTGAAGGGACCGTCAAACGCTCATGGCATCGGCGCGTCCCGCGCCTGCCTGACCGCTGCAATGTCCTCGCGTCGTCTTCCCAGAAGTGATTTTCCCAGCCGTTGCACACGTTCCAGCCATTAGCCGGGCCTGGCCGGAGCGGCCGGACGGGGGCGCCGGTAGCCGACCGTCGCCGGGCCGGTAGCGCCGCGACGCGGGACTAACTGCCGGCAGCACGTCACTTCGCGGCCGCATTGAGGGCAGCGCCGCAGCGACGCCTCCACCAGAGCGAGCGCGGAGCCACCGAGCCAGCCAGCAGCTCCCCGCCGTCGCCATCTCGGCGTCGGGACGGCACAGGCTCGGCGTCAGGCTGCGCTCAGCGAGGCACGGTCTCTCGGTACCGTGGCCCGGTCGCGAGTTTGAATTATTCAGCCGCTGCGCCTCACGCACGTTTCGGACTGGCTCGGCGTGGCACGGCTGTTCTGCTCAGCAGCGGCGGTCGCACGGATGGTCTGCGATCCAGGTCGGCTGTTGGAGGTGGCGCTGGAAGAGTCGCTCGCTCAGAGGTGCCATCGCGTCCTAGAAGAGCACATTTCCGGGTGGAGCGCTCTGTGAGATGTGGACGAGCTCATGCTTGTGGAAGTGGTCGTGGTGTGGGGCTGGGTTGCTGGACTCTGTGACCGATTGGTGCGTGTGAATCCAATGATCGCTGTGTGCTGGCCAATAGATCCACATGATCGTCATGGATGCAAACCGTTCTCATCAGCGAACAAAGATAAAACGCGTTCGTGTGCTGAGCATTATGTATTTGGGGCAATCCCAAAGCCCACATTTGTCAAAAGCACGTTCATTACTTTCACAGAGTCCCCTTACTTTTACCCTTACCTTTCCCATGCCGCCGCAGCATTACAAGGCAATTCATTGATGCCCGGAGGAGCAGCTCTTGTAGAGTTCGCGTTCTTTCCACCGCGCATGCTGCTGCTTACCGCAGAGGTTCCTGTGGTCTCCTCTATGTGCAAACGAACCAACAGCAGGCGGCGCGGCTGTTGCGCGTGTAGCTGCTGTCGGCGATAGCGTCTTGAGTGATGGAGCGGGACAAAAACGGGCCGGCGCGGCGCAGCAACCGGCGCCGGTCGGCGGAAGTGTCCGCCACGTGGCGCGCCGCGCCGGCCAAGCGGCGGCATCTGTGGCGGCGGTGTGACTCATTACGGGGCGGGACACTCATCGCTCCCGCCGGCGCTGGCAGGTGCATGTCTTCTGCCCGGCCGCCGCCAGCCATCCTGGCGTGTTGATTGTGTGTGTGTGTGTGTGTGTGTGTGTGTGTGTGTGTGTGTGTGTGTGTGTGTGTGTGTGTGTGTGTGTGTGTGTGTGTGTGTGTGTGTGTGTGTGTGTGTGTTATGTGTGTGTGTGTTATGTGTGTGTGTGTGTGTGTGTGTGTGTGTGTGTGTGTGTGTGTGTGTGTGTGCGTGTGCGTGCGTGCGTGCGTGCGTGCGTGCGTGCGTGCGCGCGTGCGTGCGTGCGTGTGTGCGTGCGTGCGTGTGTGTGTGCGTCATTTGACTGCTGTCTGGGCGGCTTGTGGTCCGGGTGAAGCACACGAGGAACGCGAGAAACCAAGACACTCCATGTATCTCCGTTGAACTCCGACTAACACTTAAAACTGAGCACGCTTCGTAGAGCTCTGCCAGCTGTCAGCGGAACCTGTCCGTCGGTCGTTCCTGACCTCGGGACAGGAATTCAGCTGGACCACTCCCGGAGCGGAGCCAGACATTACGTGGCGGATGCCAAAACGCGGCGTCCGTCTCGGGAATCAATTAGCTCGGACCGTTGGTGAGCGAAGCGCTCTCCCGGTTCGCCGGGCGCTGTCGCTAACCACAGCCTGCACTGCTCCGGACCGGCGGCTCAGGAATGCGGGAACTACGGCATGTCTGTGGATCAGCCACTTATCTGGGCATCTCTCACACAGCCGGTGTCGAAACGCTCGTGCCGGCCGCAAACGACTCCGCGAGGAGACGGCCGCCGGTGTTAGCTGATAGTGATACTGAGACCGGGAGACGATTTATGGATCGGAATAAATTGCTTAGGGACTTCTGTATATGTCAAACACTTGGCCGTCTCATTTTCACTGCCACATGCCTTGAGCAAAACGCGATCTGCTTAATCCGGGCATGACGTTTACAAGGACATAAAAAATCCTCGCTCCAAGAGCCAATCTGCGTTATTAGCTGTTCGTCACCAAATACGGAATGCGGCGCTGGTGCTACCCTAACGCATCAGACTCATTGGAAACCTGGGCACGCAGCGGCGCCAAGGCCGCGCCGCATCCGTGCTGTGCTCACTGCCGGGTGTGTGTGTGTGTGACGCGTCCCATCTGTTCCCAGGTGCCCGAACTCAGAGCAGCGGCGGCTACTCCAGCCAGAACCCGTCCCAGCGACGCCGTGCGGCGCTATGTTGTCGAGTCTGCCGCCGCCGCGTCACCGCAGCGCCGGCGCCCGCCGTCGCCCGCGTGTCTGCTGACCGCCCGCCATGGCCAAGATCCTGAAGCAGCTGTCGACGATGCACGGCCGGCTGTTCGCGGCCGACCCGCCCGAGAAGTCGCGGCCGCCCGAGCTCTTCATCGACGCCGACGCGCTGGACGTGTACGCGCTGCGCCGCTGCCACTCGGAGCTGAGTCCGCTCTACCTGACGCGGCTATCGCTCTCGACGGATGATCTGGACGCGGCCACGCTGCCGCCGGCGCGCAGCCTGCTGGACGCGCTGCAGGAGGTGCGCGTGCGCGGCCGCGGCGTGATGCGCCGCGTGCGCCACCACGTGGAGCGCGAGCGCGCGAGCGCCGTGTCCCGCAGCGACAGCTTCAAGTTCCAGTCGGCTGGCGAACGAGGCGATCACAACATCGTGCCGCCGCGACGCCGCGGCCGCAGGAAGGGCGCCGGCCCGCCTTCCATGCCACAGGTAGGTTCTGCGGCCCGTCTGCCGGCCAGGGGCTGCTGCTGAGGTCGTCTGAGGCTCGTGTGGAGGGCGGGAGGCTGCTGCTGAGGTCGTCTGAGGCTCGTGTGGAGGGCGAGGGGCTACTGCTGAGGTCGTCTGAGGCTCGTGTGGAGGGCACGCTTGGACCTTACGGCCACCGGAAAGCGTTGTGGTAGTTGAGGACCCTTCGATCTTTACATAACACAGAGGTGTCTGATCATCCATTCGATGAGCTAAGTGGGTCGTAAGAGGGCTGAACTTAGGTAAGACAGAAGTAATAGCCACATTCCTTGTAAAAAAAAAACCAGGAGAATGTGACGATAGATGCCTTGAGACTGTGGCAATATGCCTTTATCAAAACAAATAATAGCAGCACATTCAAGATTTCCTACCGATCCTACTCGATTTTTCAGGGTTTTTTGGGACAGGGAGCCACAGTTTTTACGGGCTATCAACATTTGGCAATTCAACAGCAGTGCAAGAGCAATCGCTAATCATTACTACGATAACCATTAACCATACGATAACTATTAACCATTACTACGATACAGTGCGTATCTAACTAAGCATTCGAATGCTATTAGGATGATGACTAGAATTAGTATTCTAGATTTTAGTCAGATATGCACTGTATTGTAGTAATGGCCAGCATTTGAGCTTTGTTCAATCCGCTGAATGTTGGTGACCTGTAAAAACTGTGGTTCGCTGTTAAAAAAAACTTAAAAATCGAGTAGGGTCAGCAGGCAATCTTGAATTTACTATTTTTCTTGGTTTTGATGCTGACGTGTTGCGGAAACATCTGGGCATCTATCTCTTCATTTTCCTGGATTTTCTACGAGGAATAAGATTATTACTTCCGTCTTATCTACATGCATGATGTTCCTCACAAATGCACGTAACAACGTACGAAGGGGCTGAGCTACATAAGACTTTGCTATAAGTTATCTTAAAGGTATATGTTTTTGCTACAAAAGGTAAAGGGAGGAAGCTCCGAAGGAGAAATCAAGATAATTTTAATGAAGAAGCTCCATTTGGTTCCGAAAATATTTCGCTCAGTATATTTGACCGCAAGTGATCGTGTTATTCCGTGCTGTAATGGTGCTGCCAGTTAACCTCCTAGTTTGCTTCAAAGCGGCGAAATTGTGAAGAAATGAGACAGCTTGTATGTTGGACGATTCAGTTCTGAAATTATGAACTCCACATATGTTGTGGGAAAGGGTGCTGAGTGATTTACATGATGCAATTGGCAATGTCAGAGGTGTAAAAATTAATTACGTTGACCTGGCTTGCGTCGTAAGCAGGGTCAGCGTTTGCACACTCGAATGGCGTTCGCAGACGAGTCAATATCTGTTCCCTCTGCGATGGCCTGCCGGTGAATCAGCGGGCCACTGCAGTATCCTTGTCGGGAGCTCCTTGACCCGAAACTTGGGCGCCGCCGGCTTCACTGCGTGTTGCCCGACGGCCGGCCACACTCGCCACACTCGAGCCGCGGCCTCACCATCTCGGCCGGCGCTGAAGGACAAGGTCGGTGACGGCATCACAGCGTGTATTGACGGCACACAGCAGATCCAACCGGCGCTCCGGCCCGACCGCCGGTTCCCGGTCACTCAAACAAAGCGGCCCGCCATCCGAAGGCCGTTGGACCGCGGCGTCTGTCGGGCCGCCGCAGGACCGCGGCGTCCGTCGGGCCGTCGCTGGACCGCAGCGTTTGGGCCGCCGCTGGGCCGCGGCGTCTGTCGGGCCGTCGCTGGTTCGTGGCGTCCGTCGGGCCGCCGCTGGGCCGTGGCGTCTGTCGGGCCGCCGCTGGGCCGTGGCGTCTGTCGGACCGCCGCTGGGCCGTGGCGTCCGTCGGGCCGCCGCTGGGCCGTGGCGTCTGTCGGACCGCCGCTGGGCCGCGGCGTCTGTTGGGCCGCCGCTGGACCGCGGCGTCTGTTGGGCCGCCGCTGGGCCGTGGCGTCTGTTGGGCCACCGCTGGGCCGTGGCGTCTGTTGGGCCGCCGCTGCGGAGGGCAGTGACGGTGGCGTGTGTCGCCGCTGCGGAGCGGCACGCGCCCGGCCGGCTCGCCGCTGCCCAGCGGTGAAAGTGCCGCCGCGCCAGTCCGATCCCGGCCCGACCACTTTGACTGCGGCCGCCGCGCTGGCCGTGTGTCACCCAGTGGCCGCGGCGCCCTGTCACCGGTCAGGCTACCGGTATGGAGTGTTGGGCACTCGAGCGGTGGGGGACCAGCAGCGCGGTGCGTCAAAAAACCTCTCACGACCGGGTTATGGGCCGTGCGATGAAAGCTTAGCTGTGGCAGGCACCACATCCGCCGGCCGGAGAGGGGGAGGGGCGAGGTGACGAAGCCGGTTAGGGGCTGGCGAGCATCAATCGGAGGGCCCTCATTCATTCGTGAGGTCCTCGACCGGCATACAATAGCAACATGTAAAACGTCCATTCGATACCGCGTCGTCCTGTGAGGAGCAGGTGATGGGGGAAGGTTCTCTGAACTGTGTGTATAATGGAATGTCAACAGTCTTCTTTGCGTCAGAGTTCCATACGGGTTTCAGCTGTCCCGATAATAAGGCTCCTTTGCGTTGATAAAGGATGTAATTTTTACCAGTGTTCCTTGTGTCGACGGTACCATTGGCATCGTCTGTGCTTACGTCGTCCTTACCAGCCCAGACGCCTTTGCTGCTTTCATGCGTCGGAACAACGAACCTGCTTAATTTCTGTTGAATCAAAGTCCGGAACCCAGAAGTTAACACTGCTCACTTTCATCGGGCAGTTGCCGTGTTCGCGTCTGCACGCTAACAATGTGTTCAGTGCAAATCCCGACCTATTTAATCACAGCGCAACGCGTTCGTCCGTTTCCGATTCGTGTAACGCGTTCGTCCGTTTCCCATTCGCGCGCGTCACCACTAAAGGCCGGCTGAGAAGCTGTCTTTCCACGCCGGCCCAGACCGTCATCCGTATCGGAGTATTGCGCAGAACAGCTCCGGCTATCCCCGGCTCCGGATCGCCACCGACGCGATTCCCCGAGCCGATCGGTGACCGTGGCTCTCTCCACCTCACTGACCACCGACGCGATCCCCCGAGCCGATCGGTGACCGTGGCTCTCTCCACCTCACTGACCACCGACGCGATCCCCCGAGCCGATCGGTGACCGTGGCTCTCTCCACCTCACAGACCACCGACGCCATTCCCCGAGCCGATCTGTGACCGTGGCTCTCTCCACCTCACAGACCACCGACGCGATCCCCCGAGCCGATCGGTGATCGCGGCTCTCTCCACCTTGCTGACCACCGACGCGATCCCCCGAGCCGATCGGTGACCGTGGCTCTCCACCTCACTGACCACCGACGCGATCCCCCGAGCCGATCGGTGACCGTGGCTCTCTCCACCTCACAGACCACCGACGCGATCCCCCGAGCCGATCGGTGACCGTGGCTCTCTCCACCTCACTGACCACCGACGCGATCCCCCGAGCCGATCGGTGATCGCGGCTCTCTCCACCTTGCTGACCACCGACGCGATTCCCCGAGCCGATCGGTGAGACCTAGGACTCTCCATCTTGCTGGCTGCCCTGCTGAAATCCTTGACTGGGCTGTTCGGCAGGGAACTGAGAGAAGCCCATAGAAGGCTGTTATCTAGCCAGGCGCAAAGTGCGCTGTGCTCCTGTTGGGGGAAGTTCGTTCCCTCAAGTGCGTTGCGCTCTTGTTGGGGAATGTTCGTTCTCTCGAGTGCGCTATGCTCCTGTGGAAGATTCTGCTCCACATACCTGCTCAGTGTGCCCTCCCCCCCCCCCTCCAAAAAGGGATGTGAACACAGGTTATGTCACATACGTGGTTGGTTTTAAGAGTGAAAGGGTTTGCGGAACAGAGCATGTCACCGCCAGCCTCTCATGAGACGTTTGGCGCGTTAGACCGGAGGGCTGATGGTTACAGATGCCTATCGCGGCCGTCCCGTAGTGAAGTCACGCATTGGTGAGGCTGCACGTCAGACGACACCACATTTGGACGTGCCGCGATGGCCCAGCATCCATCACTACCTTACGCGGCGCTTTTTACGCAACAGATGGCCGATCATAGTCAGGGTAGTTCCGCTCATCATCAATAACGTGCAGGCGGTCAGACAGGACCCGTGAGACCGAGGGCCTTGGTGCATAAGAAGACAGGACCCGTGAGACCGAGGACCTTGGTGCATAAAAAGACAGTACCCTTGAGACTGAAGGCCCTGGTGCATAAGAAGACAGTACCCGTGAGACCGAGGACCTTGGTGCATAAGAAGACAGTACCCTTGAGACCGAAGGCCCTGGTGCATAAGAAGACAGAACCCTTGAGACCGAAGGCCCTGGTGCATAAGAAGACAGTATCTGTGAGACCGAGGGCCTTGGTGCATAAGAAGCGAGCCCCTGCATCTGCCCAGCCGCTTAACGCAAGGCCTGGCTGGCGGCGCTGGTGCTCGCTGGTGGCCGGCGCCGTGGAATGAAATGAAGCTGAGGTCTGAGGCTAGGATCTTGTATCGGTTCACCCGGCACAAGGTCTTGACGCCACACATGCTGGTGGCGGGATCTCTGCACTTGATTGCCTTTGTGAAAAAGATGCCTGCCAGGGGATCATGGCCGCCGTAATAGGGAGGGCGGGAAAGCTGCTGACATCTGCAAACTCCACGCGGTGTGGAGACTTGGACATCGCTGATTCATTTGACCTCGTGAGTACAACTGTCATCGTATACTTTGTGTTAATGTACCACCTTCATTACGCCTGGGAAGAATTTCGGTAACGCCCGTGAGATCAGCT